GAAGAAAACCACAACACTATTCCAAACGAGCTTTATATTTACCTACTTTGTGTATTTCGTGCAGTACAACATGTTGATCATTCTGCGCCGTATAACTTCAGAGCGAGTGATTATGAAGAGAGCAAGATTCAAACGCCTTAAATTAATGGATCTTCCGTACCATTGATCAAACGCCATCGACCCCGCGATTCCGATTTCTGGAGAAATACCAGAAGTCTTTTGCTTGGCGTGGATCATCCACTCAATAGCATGGTCGTTTGTGGAAATATGGGAGATACGAAGAAGAACACTTTCGATTCGCTTCCTTCCAACAGACACGGCTGATAATCTCATCATTCTTGCTTTTTCTCATAGACCCCCAAGCTGGTTCTGATAGCGTGAGGCGTAGTTCATGGTCTTAGATATGTCGTGCGTGTGCCATATTCGGGGCATTTCCGAACCCATTCATGTTTCGTGGGTGAATACTACTCTCCGGCACTGTAAACACGAGATGAATGTTTATGACATGAAATTTTCGCAGTGATCTAATTCATGTATTTTGTTTCAATTTCGTCCAACATTGCATGTATATTTGAGTAAGAAATTAAGAAAATCTAATTCGGGAATGAAGAATTATCGAATATCCCCAATAAATCACAATCGATACGGAGCTTCATCAGGTACGAAAGCAAGATGGCCATATGAACGGGATCCTAGTGTTACCATGAATATGATAAAGGATTCAGCTAGCCTAGCTCCTCGCAAACCGCCTTGTACGGCGTGGATACCCATTTCCAATTTTCCCATCATGGGGTAAAGACGGAAAAAGGACCGTTTGGGTAACACGACGGGAGCCGATGCACAGGTTCAGATAAGAAGAAGAAAATCGCGACGACGAAAAGAGCGAAATGTGATGTGTCATCTCGGATCCACGCAGGTGCATTGAGGTTCGGGATTGACGGTTCCAACGATGTCACTTCAACATGTTACCATGTTGTTCGATCGGTGATATGTCTCTGTGGGGGTCTTTTGGGGTAATTCCTACGTGGGAATTTTGAAAATGATAAGCTTCATTTATTGGAAAAGGTGAGATAAGAGTGCGATTGGAGTATTGGCCTACATAAACTTTTATCGTGAGGTCTCGTCAGCAATACCATGCAGAGCCAGAATCACAAACACCAGATGATTTTGAATGGTGTCGGCTATATCAATTCTTTGTATTTGGAGAATCAAAATATGACAGGTAAGAATGATATCTATTTGTTTGCCGAAGTCGAGGAGAGATATACTCAGTGGAGCGATGAAGGCTCCGAAGGATAAGCGAGTCTTGATTTTCCCCCTGATTTGCACCCCAGAAGATCGTGGGGGTTTTTGACACACATAACTGGTTGGTCGTTTGATTGGTACCAAAATGATACTGGAAGTTCACAAAGTACTATTCTTTATAGATCAATGATGAGTTGACATGTTATATTTCTTCAATGTGGCTTGCAAATTTGATACATTGGTTGCATCAGTCATCGAAGCAATATCTCTAATCCTGAAAATCAAGCATGCTGTGCATCTTTCAACATCTAGAACGTTATCTTGTGTTCGCGTCACATATATCTGATTTTGTTATATCTACATCTTATCTTTCATGTGAAGACAGCATATGAAAGCTTTGATTTTTTGAGTTACTGTTTTCATCGGCCGTATTATTCTCTCCGATCTCCGAAGTATGCTTTCTCTGATAGCAGTGGAAAAATAACTTCTAGCTACTAGTTTTTGTATCATGTGGCAGGAATCAAGAAGTGTCGGAGATATCGTGGAAAGATGGTTGATTTTGAGTCCTTTTATGGGCTGTGGCTTGATGAGATATGATCCAAGTGGAAAAAACGGACACTCAACTCCTAGTTTGATGTTTCTCAGAGGATAATAATTTCATAACAGATGCTAGACTGCAGAATCTTACGAGAATACTCGAAATGTTCGTCGCCGAAAATAAATAGTAATCTTCGCTTACTGCACTGCAGTATCATCTGGAGGTTTCATCCCAAGCTTATAGAAATAGTCATTCCAATGTAGCTAGTGTTTCTACATAAAATGAATTCAAGTCAAGGTGGAGATTTGGCTGTGATAATATCTATTGTCTTTGTCTCATGTTCATATCTCAACATTGTTCTGTTCTTATCATAAAGCTGCAAAGGCACGAGTGAGTTGTATTATACGATACTAATTTCGAAATATATTCATAGGGTTTTAAATGAATCCTGTCCATTGAGGTTTTAAATGCAGTTTTAAACTTCAACATCTGGAATCCAATTCGAATATACTTCATTTGGTACATCGAAGGGGAAACATGTGATTTTAACACCATCTCGCCATACACAGAGTTCATTTTTTCCTGAATATCATCTCATTATAGCATAGTCATCTATATCTCACCATATCATCCACCAGTGATCTTATGGACCTAAACAGCCCCTAATAGAGAGGTTCCAACGAGCCCTATAATATAATATGCATTGTCGTTTGGTCTCTTGTTCATAACTTCTCCCTCAAAAATTAATAGTATTGATCGGGCATTTCATATCCCCTTTCAGCCATATACTCACATGGAAGAAGGAATGAAACCATTCGTGTCAAATTGCTTCTTATTGATTCCGTCCTGTAGTATCGATTATTCGTAGTAGGCATCCGTCTTTAGAGTCGATTCCGTTTGCAAATCATCCCAATCGGGTACATACACAATCACAAGCCATCTATAACCTGTTTCTCTGCCTCAACAACCCGTTGCATGATTTTAAGTCTCCAATACTGGAGATTCCACATATTACTTACTATGACACCGAGCGTTTGAAGAATGCATTATGCATACAGCAACCTGTGTAATTGTCCAGTTCTAATTTCATCCAATACTATGAGCTGCAGAGATCCGGGCAATACCACACTAAATTTATTCGCTCTTGAAATATAACTCGACTGTTATATTCCCGGATGATGCTAAGAGCTGCAAATCACAAGTAAAACCAAGACCACCCTGAAAGTTCATAGGTGGCGGCTCAAACTTTTCAATCTCTGCATGCCATGTATATTCTTAGGGATTAAATCTATGTCGATTTTTAATCCCCTATATGCAATAATTATCCTTCAAGCCAATTCAAACCATACCAATAAATTTAAGTTTATATCACAGATCATGCTCATGCCCAAGAGAAAACTTCATGTGTTGTCGTTTCAGAACTTTTCTATTCAATTCGAATCCGAACGCTCCTCAAAGTTCTACAGATTCTGACAGTTAGACTAGAAATTTCTTATTCAATCCGTTTTTCGTGCTTCCTTTTGACACAAGGGACTGCGTGTTTCTGTTTACAGGGGGGTGTGAGCACTCGTACTTTATTCAAGGTGTTTGACTTCTACTAAGTGGTGACTATTCCATGAAAAGTTGCTATGCACGTTTCATCCTCAAGTAACCGAGATATAAATCATATGATCGTTCTATATTGTTGTCTAAAGTATGAAAGTGTATTCAGAGCTTTTTAGTCATAATCTTCTTCTCTCGTCGTTTTCAATATTTCTTGACATGGAGAAGGTGTTGAATGAATTCCTATCATAGGTTTGTTAACTTGGCTATGCTCTATTTATTGTATTAGATAGCAATTTCAAATAATAAGATACAGAAAAGGTAATGTAGTGAGTGGTAGTGATCAATTAGACGGAGGGAGTAGATTGAATGATTATTTTAGGCGTGAGATAATCTTTTGATTTAGTGCTTCCTTTTCCAATCTACACCCTAGAGCTTCTGTAATATATTAAGCTTTATAAGAAGGGGAAAAGTAAATAAAGGCATTGAAACTATATTCGAGAAGGAGAACTCAGGATACTCGTGAGTTAAGAAATTCTGTGTCATACGAGGTGCTCGTTCAATGTTTCATTCTCTCTGCTCTTCCTCAGCTACCGAGAAATCTATCTAAATCAATAATACTATTGGAATTTTTTGCATTATTGTCTGATGTTATAACTGGTATTTATCGAGAATCACCGAAACTATAATTGTAATCAAGATGTTTCTCATGAACGTTCATACTAAAGCTGAAGTTCCTTCTAACTACACAATAGTAGATCATTTAATAAGACATTTATAATCATTACACATTTGTAGTTCTAATAATGGATTTCCCATAGTACTACGGGGAAATACTCCGGGTACCCGGGGTATTAGAACCTCTCCGCGAGACGTTCACTCTTGCCTCTAGAGGTCAAGGTCAACCCAGTCCGTGGACTATTGACTGGATGGAAAAAGCAACAAGCGCATTTATGTCATCATGCGGGTGCCCGAGACAATGAGAGTTGCCAACTATCGAAGCTTGAGGGGACCAAGGTGGGGTGGGTGGAATCTGTCATTTGTTTACCTACAAGTACTAGTCAAGGACAGTGATGAGTTTGCTATCCATAAAATGAGAAAACTTTCAAGTTGAGTGGAAGCGATGGACCCGATACTTGCGCTAGCGATTGTAATCACTGCCTCAATCCTTACATACTATTTCATCTGCATCTCGACACGCACAAACCTCTACCAAAGATGCACCTGCAAAGAGAACCTAATTTCGATCCAGAACTTGTCAGAAGCGACGGAGATTCTGCAAAGATCATCACTTCCCTCTCGAGCTCTACCAAACCAGCGGCTTGTGCGAGTTTTCTCCATCTCCAACGCATTCACAACGACCGATAAAGCTTTCTACCGATCATTTCTCTCAGTTGCCAAATCTCTATTGAAGACATCTAATGAATCAACCTCCACCCTGTCAAAAGTCCTCTCTATCCTCAATAATGAGATCGCTCCCTCTATCACCGAAAATGGAATCACGCCACTCAGTCCACTTATCCAAGTCTTCTGTTTTCGATTCGTGCTCCTCAGATTCTTTCCCCCCGAACACACCAGACCCATGCAAATCCCCATCATCCGCATAACTCAACTCATCAACTCCCTCTGGATATCTTCCAAATGTTCCTGTTTCACCCACCCCTCACAAATCCCAATGCAGGAGTCATTACGTCACGAACTCGATTCGCTATCCCTGTCTACCAACCCCGAGAATGAAAATCCACTCAACATTCTTCTCCCTGCATACGAAACGCTGTGGAGAATTGTCCTTCGTTGTTTCCTCGAAATTTCGTTTCGTCACTCGTCTGATGCTGCGGCTGAATGGAAAGATGTTCTCTCCCGATTTCTGACAAATATGACAGCCGAACAATTTAGCGAACGGGCAGGAAGATGTTCGGCCCGAGACATCGTTTTTGAAGCACTGCGTTTGTATCCACCGACCAAGAGGATTTATCGTCAAAATGAAGACAATGGGATAATGTTTGCGGTGGATGTTGAGTATATACAAAGGACTGAAGAGATATGGGGGATAGATAGGAATGAGTTCAGACCAGAACAATGGAGTGAATTGGAGAGTAAAGGCAACATGGAACACAATGAAGCATGGATGCCTTTTGGAAAAGGTAGTTTTCCGTGTCCAGCATCGAAGGTAGCGCCAATGATGGTTGGAATGTTGGTCGGGTGTTTGATTGACACTTTTGGTAGTGACTGTTGGGTTTTGGAAGGTGAAGGTGTGGAGGACGTGATATCGAGAGGAATACCGTTGGATAATGGAAGGGAGGCGTTTGGGTGTTTATCATTGAGACGAGTTAATGATGAAAAGACTGAGATGTAGGTAAGATGAAAGATGCAATTTTTGGTTCGATAAAGAGGCGCAGGCGCTGAGTTGCATAATACTATTTATATCTCAAGACAAGGAAACATTTCACCTTGCAAGCTTTAGTGATATGACTATATCTTTTCCTCGTCATATTTTTGTTCTTGTCTGAACCCTGGCTATATTTGGGATTCAGAGCTAGTAGAGGCAGTTTTGGACGACATACTATCTTTTTCACAACGTACCAATTTCTCCTTTCTTCTATGCCATTTGAGCTCCAGTAATCTTTACATATTCTTGTAGATAAAAAAACCCTTCATTCACCCGGAGCTGCCTAGTTTTCCATGTTGGAACTATCATTGATATCCTTCACACGAAAAGAGACGTGAAGAAGAGAGGGGGTTGGGTAAATTTGTATATTCATTGCTATGATTTTCTACACACGTACTATCATCTTAGCTTTCTGATGAGAACAACATGTATATCTGTTGAAAATAGCTGTAAGATTATTGTTTAAAACATTCAATGATGATGCCTATCTCCTCAGCAGATGACATCTGACAATTATCATCCCTTGAAGAAATCGTCTTCGAAATAGGTTTGCGATGAACTTGTCAAACAGAACCGCGAGAAGATGCAAATGCAAATGAAATCGCTTGTCATCCCGCGTAAAAGGGGGATCTTCGGTATAGACCCAAGTCTGTCCACCACTCCTCGTCTAGCACTACCAGACCGGAGACCACAGAGTTTGAATACAAGCATGGATCGAAATCCGGGTCACTGAGAGTGACCGTAATTTCTCTCTCTTTCCGAAATTTCGAAAGAGCTATTAGGACACCCACTAGTCCGCGCGAAAAGTTACAAACGTTGACAATTATTCGCCCGACCAGAACTACTTGGGCAAATAGTATCCAGCTTGGTTCTTCAATTCACTTTCACCGGTATAAACATTTATACAGGTGTCTAACCCTCATCAAATCAGACAACGACAATTAACAAATAAATAAACGCGAATGCAACAACACAAAAGATATCGAAAGAGAAGAAACGTGACAATCACGTGAAAGTACCTAACGTCATCGATATCAAAATGCGGGGAGAGATCTTCAGGTCCAGACTCCTCCACCTTAGCATTGACATCACCGACATTAGGCGTACAAAACCAAGAAGATGGGAATTGTTATCGACGATTCAATTTATTATGGGAATCTGCATGTCTTTATTGCTTTCTGCATATGTGATCATAGTTTAATGGCGTGAATACATTTGATGTGCTTTCCTTGCTAGTAGTTTCTCTTTTTCTCTCTCTTTCTCCTAAATATTTCTTACATCTTCTTTTAATAATATTACGTCTTTTGCTCCTACTCTGCAAGAAACAGTCCACAATCATGTCACAAAATGCATTATTACGTATCAGTCGTCCCAAGCACTTTTCGGTGATGACGTCAATGACATTTGCCAATTCATCCCATCGAAGCGTCTGCAGAATTCCATCCCGGAGCATTTTCTCCATAACGCCATATCAAAACCATATGAAGCCCATCTGTAATCCTCGATTCCAAAAATATCCAAATCACTTTTCAACCACTACAACAAAAATGTCTGATACCAACAAGAACTTTCTTTTGAGCAATGTGTTCAATGTCAAGGGCAAGGTAAGTTCCTCTTCTTTATGTTGAATTGTATATGAGACTCACATAAAGCAGGTGGCCCTCGTGACAGGTGGCGGATCAGGAATCGGTTTGATGGCAACTCAAGCACTGGCTGTGAACGGTGCCAAAGTATATATTGTGGGCCGAACCGAAGAAAAGCTTGAGAATGTTGTTAAACACCATGGTCAAAACATCGAGGGTGAAATTATCCCTATTGTTGCAGATGTGACCCGCAAAGATGAGATTGCTCGTGTGGTAAAAGAGATCGAATCCAAGGAGAAATGTCTCTGCATCTTAATCAACAACGCCGGAATCTCTGGAGCTACCCAGCAAACGGAAGCCAAGACTGCGGAGGAAATGAAGAAGAATCTTTTTGATGATGAGAGTTCGACATTCGATGATTGGTGCAATACCTACCGTACCAATGTTCCTCAACTATTCTTTATGACCACAGCTTTTCTTCCTCTACTCCAGAAAGCTTCGGATCACCAATATGGATATTCCGGAACTGTGATTAACATCTCCTCAATCTCCGGCATCGTCCAATCTTCACAACACCATTTCGGATATAACGCCAGCAAAGCTGCAGCTATCCACTTAACAAAGATGCTATCTTCGGAAATTGCTGGCAACGGATTGAAGATCAGAGTCAATAGCATTGCACCAGGTGTATTCCCTAGTGAGATGACAACTGGTGGTGAGAGTGGACAGGATCAGAAGAGTCACATTGAGAAGGAGAAGTATGAGAAAGTTCCCGCCAAAAGACCTGGTAAGGATGAAGATATGGCCGGCGCGATATTGTTTGCGGCTACCAATCAGTATTTGAACGGTCAGACCGTGGCTGTCGATGGTGGATATATCTTGCATGCTGGTGCTTGATGAGCTTATGTGGGTGGTATGTGTACGATAGAGTTATCTGATAATGATGGAATGATGGGTATCGGTACTTGGAATGAATCAATGTAACAAGTTAGCCTCTTTAGTATCTTTCACCATTCTCAAGTGCCCAGGTGAGACACCAATCGCTCCGACAATCTGTAATCTTCCGAGAACTTTGGTCAACAGCATCACTGCATTTAAGGTTGCTCACCACGTGAAACTCTAAGAAAAGTTGGTATAAATTATTACCTGTTGACTCGATTGGTAATCATAGCCTAGAGCTAGCTTAACTTGTAGTCCCGACACTACCGGCATGCACCTCCGACCTCGATGCTGGGCAGATTTTCCTCGACGATCGTGTCATCAGCAAAGAAATCCATCTTGGGATCAAAGAAGCAAACATCGCATAAACTCAACAAGTTAGTATTACACTATCCCTATTTGAGAATAAGATTCTGTAAGTATCATTGGATGCTCCACCATACTCACGCGGGAATAGGAAATAGGAAAATAACCTTATCTCAAAGCGGTTTAGTGCAACACGTACTTTTTGAGTTCACGTGGCTGGATGTCTATTTTAAAGTATATGCTAGCACCTGGGCTGCACACTTTCTAACCAATTGTTTCCCTCATTATTCCTTGCTTTCACATCGTCCGGGTGTGAAATACGTAAAAGCGTCCAAGCTGATTTTCACATGCGGTTGAAAAAGTCATATATCTATTGTGCTTGGTAGATACTGCCAAACTAATCAAAGGTTTGTATTCAGATCTAGCCAAAGATCTGAACCCAGTGCTTGCATCGTCGAGATGGATTTAAATCTAGCTTTCTCAACCTTACCCCTCATCATTCAAGCTTCATCTGAACCCAAGCAAGCTTGTCTGGAGATAAGGAATCGCCGTTTTGATAGAGTGTTTCTGATATGGTGTTTCGGAAAACTGGTACAAACCTGTTGTTGAATGTAGCTTTACTTTTGGTGCTGTTGAGATAATATGTTGGGTCTAGCTTTCGGATGTCGATCCGTCTACCTAAGTAGCTAGAGTCTAGTGTCGGACCCGCTGAACCCGTTGAGTATGAACGGTCCGATTCGGTAGGTAGATTTAGCGCCAATTCCAGTATCCTATGAACTTGGTTCCCCGGCGTTGGCCTCGAAAGCGTAGTGAATATCGGACTTGGACGCAGGAGAATGGCCTTTTTCCAGGGGATGATCGTCCGAAGAAAACAAAGGAAGCTGGTTTCTACTCTACCGGCATTCCAAATGAAATCCGGCAGGGGAATAGGACCCACCATGGAAAGGTGCAATTCATTTAGTTATTCACGACTCTAACAACAAGGCAATGATTGCGATAGATCACAGTAGCCTTGTGCAATTGATCTGGTCGGAGAAAAGCGGCCTGGTTTATACTTTCTTCTGTAGTTGTGTTCAGAGTTCAAAGCCGTAACGTCTTTGAGTTAGAGGGATAAATGCCAATACACTTGGTTAGTACGTATGTGATAGATGTCATCTTTGACGACTAGCGCGTAGTTAGCTGGAACGCAGTGAACAAAGATACGCTCTTCCCCCGGCTCCGGGTCTGTCATACTTGAACATTCCCAAACTTCTCTTTGCACTTCCCAAGCATCGTTCCAAACACCTTCTCATAGAGATGTCGACGTATTACCACGGCGCCCTCAAGGTGGAATGCTTCATCAATCCCCAGTCACAAGCTCGCTGGCATCTTGCATCCCCTGCCTCTGGACTTCACCTTGAATCTACACGGGACGACTCTCCTTTACCACCGCCGTCCTCTGAATCTTCCTGGCTCACTGTCAATAAGAGGGGCAGAGGATATCTTATGTGCCTTGCTTCTGGAAAACAAATCAGATTGAAGCGCAGAAACTTTTGTTTCTCAACTCATCAGAGATTATCCTTCAAGTATACTGCTTCTGAAAAATATCTTGAGGGTCGGGAACTTTCGGGAGAATATATATGGAAATATCAGAAAACGACAATGCAATACTTTTTAACGAAAAAAGGCGAGTTGCGGGTGTACGCTATGATGGCTTTTGATCCGAATTGTTTTCAACGGGGTTTCTGGCAAATTTCACATGTATGACAAGTGTACTGTTGTCACGTCAGAAGAACCCTCTGATAATGCTGAAGGGGAATTGGACACTTTCATCTATTTATCGATTCTTGAGCTGCTTCTTTATCAAGAGAACAAGACTTTGGGGTTCCACGCGGGTGACAAAACAAGAGAAGACGATGTGATGGATTGCGGATGTGTGTGTCACTGCATTCCCGGGAAGTGTACTTGGACCAAGTTCGGGGCGAAAATGAAGGATATGTTCAATGTTACAGTCAGGGAAGTGAATGAAGACGAGAAAAACTTGCACGCTTACTCGTCCTAGGCAATCTTCTAGGGCTACTGCTCCGGCGCAATTTTTTACTTTATAGAGGCAGTCAAGGGCGGGCTTCTTATGGCGCAATGATATGAGAGATGACCATAATGATAAGATAGAATGGACATCTGGTATGCCTGGTTGGGAAATTTTGATGGCTTCCAGCCGCTCATAACGAAGTTAATATAATAAGTTTCACCGTAACTAACAGGACTATCGCCATAAAGATCCAAATCGTGTGATATAAGTGGACTAACTTGTTCAAAAGTTTCAATATAGTACCCATATACTGCAGTTTATCATTAAACCCTGTGTACCAGGTAGCCGCTATGTAGACTGTTGACATGGAATTTGTGTGGAAGGATAAATGAGGTTGCAATGATTGAGAGATCTTTCTCTATTCACACTGTGTCTGATCGGAACAACCGAGAGGAAAAGAGATAATAGAATGAATAGTACTTTAGAAAGTGATAATCGACCGTAATTTTCTTCGATCACAGCCTCACTGCTCATGACCAGTTCGTTGCATAAAGGACATCAAGACAGTGAGAAATCACTGGCCATACTATATAGATGCTTTTTCTTATTTCTAAACAAAGGTAGTATTTGCCCATCCATGATGCAACACTGAGACAGTGCGGCGCTACAATCTGAGTCAGGGTTTACAGCATTACGGACTGCTGTCCGACAACCTGAGCCTTTCAACTTCTGAATTTAATTGTAACATTCAGATGGTCTAAACTTTTGAACTCATCTTGAATATTGAAAGTCACATCTATTATGCCAATCCGAACTACTGAATATCCTGATATTGTCTATATGCTATTCTCTCAGTGAAGTGAAAATTTAACATTGCATAACTTGGTGACCCATTCAAGAATGAACGATTGATGCAGGCGCACTTGCACCATGAAAGTTAGAGACTATGTCAGAAGCATATAGAAGCAACAATTGTAGATTGAGTGTGAAAAGCCTTGAATGATTGTAAGGTATGTATTGAGTACATCAGATGATTTGAATGATGCTTGATATATTCAATACATATCTAGAATTCATGTAATAATCTCAGGCGCGAACGATAACGACCTTTGGAAGCCCCTGTGATACAGCGGCCGCTAGCGCTATTTTAATTCACGACGCGTCTCCCAAGCAACCTTGATAATTGTCGACCGCTCCATTTGGTCTCCATTGAATCTGCCAAAGACATGAATGATTTCCTAGACACGAAGAAAGTCTAAAGTCGCCCTTTCTTGAATATGCCACCACCAGAACCATCAAGTACACGGAAACGCCTTAGATCTCGTATATCAGATGAAGCCGACGAGTTATCCCCTCTACCTGCAAAATCGCAAACATCTGCAGCGAAACGTCAAAAGGTAGATGTGCCTACTTCCAGGCTTGGTGGTATCTCGGGTCGGTTCAAGAAACTGCTCGGATTGAGCGTCAAGAAGGAGATTGGAGATAGTGCAGACGAATTGGGCGAGGATATCTACGACTTCAAGGTTACGGATGACGAGGAAGAGAATACAAATGCATCAGGGAAGACGAATACCAAACCCGTAGCGAGAAGCACCAAGGCGGCAAAGTCTACAGCGAAGGAAGTGGTGCCCCTTGTGAAACGTGGTCGTGGGCGGCCGCCTAAGAATAAAGAATATCTTGAGAAGGCGAAAGCATTATCACGACAAGCTATCCAAAACGAATCTACGAAGAACAAGCAGAATAAAGATATTGAAGCTAGTAATGAAGATGTAGAGCCTGCCGCCGAGAAGTCTACAAAATCATACGGGAGTCAATCGACGCGATCGTCCAATTCAAAAGATGTAATTTCAAAGGCTCCAGGAAAGGCCACTGAAATACCTGGATCCAGCACACCGAAACGTGGCCGGCCGAAGCGGATAATAGATGGTTTGGCAGATTCAAAGGCCGCGATTCCAAAAGGTATCCTAACTCCTAGCAAGTCTAAAAATTCAACAATAAGGAAGAGTGTTGCCTTCGATGAATCTGGTAAGGATAATTTAGAGGGGTTTAAAGATATTCCTGTAAGTAGAATCATTTATGAAGCAAAACCGCTTATCGTCGGACGATGTTGCAGATATAAACGTATGTGTACTAACCAGAACATAGTCTGAGGCGCCCCTCAAGAATCTACAGGGCAAGACTATAACATCCGCGTCACGTTCGATTGATAATGATTATGATGAGGACGATTATGAAGGTGCTGTTTGCGAGATCTGTACGAAACCTGATTCGGTAGCTCCAAACAAGATCTTGTTTTGCGATGGATGCCCGCTCATTGTGCATCAGAAATGTTACAGTGTGCCAAAAATACCCGAAGGTGATTGGTTTTGTAAGAAGTGTCAAAAGGTCAGGGTAGCAGCAGAAGCAGCCAGGGCCGCTGAAAATGATGGTGTAAGCGACTCTGATGACGAAATATCATGTGCTATTTGCGAAGGGTTGGATTCAGAGAAACCGAACGAGATTATTCTATGTGAGAGTTGTGATTATGCCGTCCACCAATCTTGCGGCAATATTCCCAAGAAACCTCGGGGAGAATGGCTTTGTAAAACTTGCATTTCTGATGTAGATCATGATTTACTCGATGGGGAGGCAGATTTGGGTCCAATCTCAAATGAGATTCCTAGCATCGAGGGGTTTGAAACCCATCTAAAAACAATGCAAAGAGCATTGCTGAATCGCCTTGCCGGAGAGAAACGTCTAACAATCCAAGGACATGAAGATGACATGCATAAGGTGCACCAGCTCGTCGAACAAACAGTTTTGGCGGGCGAGGGTAACTCTATGTTGATTATTGGTGCAAGGGGTTCTGGAAAGACTACCGTAAGATCCATTGCGATATTTTAGACGTTAAGCTAATTCATCTGCAGCTGGTTGAAACCGTAATTTCAGATCTTGGAAAAGACCATAGACAAAAATTCCATGTCGTTAGACTTAATGGATTCATCCATACTGACGATCGGCTAGCGTTGCGCGAGATATGGAGACAGCTGGGCAGGGAAATGGAAGTTGAAGATGATTCTACTGGCAAGGTAATGATCTGTGTGGTTTAATATCATGCCTACGTTAACATTTTACACAGATTAATAATTATGCTGATACCCTGGCTTCTCTTCTGGCTTTACTCTCCCATCCATCGGAAATATCAGAAATCGAGACAGATCATGCTGCTAAATCTGTTATTTTCGTGCTGGACGAATTTGACTTATTCACGACACATTCTCGACAAACTTTACTCTATAATCTATTCGACATAGCACAGGCCAGGAAAGCGCCTATTGCTGTACTTGGTCTCACCACCCGTGTGGATGTAGTCGAGAGTCTGGAAAAGAGAGTCAAAAGTCGTTTTAGTCACCGATATGTGCATTTATCATTACCTAGAAGTCTTCCAGCATTTTGGGAAGTATGTAAACAGGGCCTCATTGTTGACAGTGATGATTACGATGACGAGGGATTTGATATCTCGACACCTGGACAAAAGGAGTTCCTAACATTTTGGCAGAACATGATCGAGGTAAGTCCTATATTCTCTGCCATACTCATATAACTAATACTGCCACCAGAAACTTTACAATAACGACAGAAGTTTCAAGCATCATATTCAATCAAATTTTTACCGGTCTAAATCGGTGCCTGCATTTTTTGCCTCCTCTATCCTTCCCATATCAAGTCTTTCAACGCAGAATTTCCCATTGCGTGGCCAATCATTTAATATGGCTAATATGGCGCTGTCAGCCCCGGACTCTAAACTCCACATCCTTCAGGGTTTATCCGAGTTGGAACTCGCTATGCTGATAGCTGCCGCACGACTTGACATTATCCTAGACACGGATACTTGCAATTTCGCAATGGCTTATGACGAGTATAGCTCCTTGACTTCAAGGCATAAGATACAGACATCAAGTACGGGAGTTACAGCTTTAGGAGGTAGTACTAAAGTATGGGGGAGGGATGTCGCTCTGGGGGCATGGGAACGATTAGTAGATTATGATTTGCTTATATCTGCAGCTATTGGTGCGGCACAAGTGGGTGGAATTGCAGGTCGTATGTGGAAAGTAGATATTGCATTGGAGGAAATTCCAGGTAGTGTGGATGGTTTGACTGGGGTTATGCTTAAGTGGTGTAGAGAAATCTGAACTCGGTGTCAACCCATCCATCCAAGACGCCATATTTGCAATTTCGGCATTGGTCAATTTCTGTCGCCATGTGGTGAAATGTAACACGAACGCCCTGTTTGTTAGGGGAAACTTTGGTAAGCTGATCGGTCTGCGGGTGCCGGCGTATTTCCATGGTCATTAGTCTCCATTTGGACATCTGTGAGAGAGACGTCCAGCTTTTCTTCTAAAATTACATTTAGACCCCAAATGCTCGGGTCAGAGACAGGTCGATCCTAGAAAGAGCGATATTGATATACTTCGTTTGTACTTACTTCCATAAGATGGTTCGAGGAATGTTACGGACAGGATGATTATTCTCTCTGTCCGCAGATGGCTTCTTAAATGGCCACTACCGATTACGGAGAGTCCAGTCGGTGAGTTTTGAATTGATAATCGTACAACCCCAAACACTTTACCTACAATTAAAAAAGATGCAGATTCTCTGCATGACCAGAATTGAGATGAATTGTGGCTTGATATAACATTTCTTTCCATTTCCTCCAATGGAGCATATGCGGCCGGTCAGCCTCACTTCGACAAGTTTGTAGCGGGGAAACATACATCTACTCTGATTGCCCGGGGGTTTGAATTTCCTTTCAACTCGATCTTTACCATTCATTCAATCCCTTCATTTCACCTAGACCATTAATTTCCATCTGGGTAAAGACACAGCAAGAATGGAAAAGGTCGCAGCGACAGATGTAGTGGGTCTAGACACCACCTTGGCTTATGCTGGACGGCTTTCCTTCGTTTTTCATAGGTATCGACTGCTCTCTACGGAGAATGAATATCTTATACCTAGTGTTGTTGAAGAACATATTAGCCTTCTCATTTCTACCATTGGTACGCTCAACGAAGTGCTTGGCCTTCTAAAACGAGAAGACGCGGGTAAAACTCAAAATCACGTCTTCAGCAACGATGGTCTTCAATTTGTGAATTTGCTGGTAGGAGAGTGTGCGAAGGTCTTGGGTAAAATTGCTCCTATGGCTACAAAAGCTGCTCAGAAGGTGGAACGAAAGAAGAAGCAAGAAAGTGCGAAGAAAGCCAAAGAGGAGATCATTGAGCCTGTCGAACCAACGCAATTACAGCTCGACGAGGAAAAGTTCTTGAAGGACCTCGAGACTGCAGTGTGGTATCGTGTAGACAACGATACACATGCCTACCTGGAGCGGTTCAAAAAGATCCAATTACATCTTCTCTTGGTATACCAAGTTGTTACTGTTGGCTTGCTTCTAGGAAATCTGTGAGTACAGAGTATTCCATCGAGAAGCAACTACTTACTAGATATAGATCCTCTGGGAAATTCGATATTGAAAAGGTCGTCTCCTGCCACGAACGTATCAACCGCACCTTCGATCTGGTTCGTGGCTCTTCACCAAGTCGGCGCCGAAACTTTCGTTCCAGCAGTAGCTCTACATATACGCTGAGTGAGTCGGATAGCGATAGTGATGCTAGCTCGGTGATTTCTAGGAGAAGACAAAAACCACGCCCGAATCTCGCCACACACTGCCCTCCACCCCCTTCACCCTTTCCGTCTGTAGACAGATGTCTTCCTCGGCCCTTCTTGAGAGCAACTGCTCCGCCCCATCCGCCTCCTGCCATGGCATATATGTCAAGACCATCAATTCAACATTCTACGTCTCCCCCAAGATTTATTGATCTGAATGTGAGTGAATTCCCCGAGACACATCCAGGTTTCCAGACACTTTCTCTACCTCTTTCCACAACACTCAAACCTTTCTTAAAAGCTCAGAGTATATGAGCCTCTACGAGTTACCTTTGCACGTGTACTGATATGATTAAGACCAAACCCCCCTCGTACGAGAGCCATAGAGGCTCCACTGCGCCGACATTGAAGCAAGCATTGCCATTAACAAATTCCCCAACATCTCCACGAGTATTATCGGATGAGAAAGGCCAGGATAACAAGGCGGATTCAGTAACAAAGAAGGCGGGGGAGGAAGAAGAGCAAGTAGTGAAGAAACACGTGGAGTAAGTTCTACGAAGAATTGATTGCAGTTTTCTAGTACTGATGATAACAGGTCCCGAGCACCAGAAGGTCAACTATTCAATTCTCCCCACAACCGCCTTAGCTTCAAAATCAAAAGTCTCTTCCGAAGCAAGGAGTCTCTTGCTACTGAGATGAAGAAAGTCGTGGAAAGTACTTCAAGCGTACTCGACGCTTTCCTCATTCAGGGTTGTGATATTAGACCAATCCCTCACTCGGCTTTTCACAGCTTGGAAGCCACGCACATGCGTACGATTCTGAGCCAATTGAATGATAATAGCTGGTTTGAGACCTTCAGTAACCTGACAAGAGTTGAGCATACTACACTTGATATCGCTCTGTGTCCCTGGGGACAGACAAAATTGCATCGAGAGGTAGTAGTGCTTAAGGTCTTACAAGAGGATAAAACAAATGTATGGATGCGTCTCATTGCTAATAAGTCTTTCACTCCTATACTGCCACAGCATCCAAACGGTCGAGTCATATTAGCCATTGTTCGAGAGCACCTGGATGATGACAAAAAATTAAGTCCGATACCTCGTGGAACTATGGGAGCGTCTATACAGCGTTTTCCTGTGCCTCCTACATCTCTAGGATTTCTTCCATCAGGCCCACCACCCCCTCCTGAAGTTCTATCAGGTCCTCCTCCCCCTCCTCCCAGAGGTATGCTATATCCGCCTCCACCTCCTGCTATGCACCCAGCAATAAGACCTCCTCCAATGACAGCACCCAGGGGTCTTAGTAGTCCCCCACCTCCGCCTCCACCCCCGCCTTCGGCCCCTAACCCACATTTCAATACAAGCGAAGCCCAAATCTACAGCAATGCTGAAGCATTAGTTGCTCTCACAACATACGCTGAGTATACGCTTCGACAAGCCGAGCCTAACGAACTCAGTCTCCGTACCTGGTTCAAGATAACCATAACCCACGAAAACAACACCGTTCGCGACATAGTCGCTCGCGTAGAATCATTCAACAAATGCGGAGGTTCTGTTATCAACTCTCAACTCCGTCTCACAGATCAACAAGCTACTCACATGACCCGGATCTTGGAAGATCTTCAAATGAAAGAACGAGATCACAGGTTTGAATGGTGTTGGGTGGAACTAAGTCTTCACAATAGTATTGGAGAAGTAGATCTTGCTGCGCGCGGTCATGCAGCCCAAACTGCATCGATGATTCATTTAATCGCTCGCAGATCTCTGAAGAGAGAGTATAAACCTTATGAGGTTTATAATCTGCTTGTGAGAGGGCCACCACGTCCAGGCTTCAACAATGGTCTTCCTCCACGACCAGGTCCAGTCGGAATACCACTACCAATGCCTGGACCTCCTCCACCGCCTCCACCACCACAGCCTAGAGCAGCATCTCCATTTATCATTGATCGCTTGAGACCACGACCCCTCTGCAATGGAAGAGTTAGATATACGAGTAAGAATGATCGCGATGATTCAGGTAGCTCAGGGAGCGATAGTGATACTACTTATGATAGTAGAGGCAGCCGAGCGAGAAGAACACGTCGTAATGAAAGAAGTATGAGACGACGTTATTCTGATAGTGAAATCTCGGATGATAGCGATGATGAAGAAGATGTGATCAAGATTCCGATCATTTTGAAGAGGGGAGATGATGTGGTTAAGAAGCTTTTGGATCTTTGGACACCGAATACAGAGAATGTTGCAAAGTCAACGGGCGGAGTGAGTGAGAGCTCCTAGTCCAAGGAACAAATTGAGGGGAGGCGGAGTTTATTCTTTTCAAATTTTAATTAAAAGTGGGATAAGGTATGCGGTATATTCTAAATAGTATGACTTTACGGCCTGGTCAATCCAACAGCTCTTATGATATTCAACATATATACATGCGTACTGGCAAATGAGTAGAGAAACTCTGTGATGTATCCAAACAATCAAAATATTACAATATTTCTGCATCGTCAGAAAGAAAGGATGAGCATCCATAATGATTCGAAAATGCTTTTGGGATATCCATGAACTTCGCAAATGTAACAATGTAACAATGAATCTCTAGTTTCTGTAAATTTTGGATCTTACATCAACTGCGGGGTGCTCCACCCCGCAGGTAAAGTTTTCGATCAAGGTCCATCATGGGTGTCGCTATCACGATGGAGTAATCTTGGAAGAAGTCATTTTCTGATTGATCTTCCTGTCTAAATGGTACTTTGCGCACTCGAACTAGCAGTTCTATCTGCTTTATTACCACTTCTTGCCTTCTTGAAGCAAGCAAATTCACTTTTACTCGCCTCCCTTAATCTCTTCAAATCTACTCTCATGCCTGGCAGTATTTTTTGTAACCTGGCTCTTGCTTCGCCATCTGTTCCTTTATCTAACTCCTGATATATCTGGCTTGATGTCTCTGTTGCTCGCTCTGTTGTGTATTGATTCATAGTCTGTGCGACGAATTCAATATCAAGAGTAGCTTGCATAAGAGAATTGAGAGGAAATCGCTGACGTTGTTTGAAGGCCTCTAAGAACTCCAGGGATACTTGCTCTAAAAGATAAGAGAGGACTTGACCGGTGAGGGATGAGGCAGTAGTAGATACCTGGGTATGGACGATAACGAGACAAAGTAAAGCCTCATATACATAAGGACGAACTTCTTTTGGTTGTTCGGTTGGTGCCCAATCCGGTGCCAGAACTCCACGACGCACGATATCGCGGAGAGTCTCAACAGTAGGTTTAGTATACGATTGGAAAAGACGGGCGTCAATTTGCCCTAGGACATCTCTTATTGTCTTGGCTTCCTCTGTAAGCTTGACAGAGAAAGCGTTCTCGAACTGCGTTGTAAGGTTTGGAACGACATCAACACGAAGCGCTTGCAGGTTGCTTAAAGTTAAAAGCATTCGAACATTCTACAAAAGTTAATTCAGTTATCAAGAAGGGGATGTAGGTTATTCGACTTACGCGATCGCTAGCATCGACAGTCCCAGCACCCATACTTGTAGCAACAATCATCGCCACAGGAGTCGCCAAACCATCGGTATCGGCGGTCCAGTCATCTTCGGCTTTTCTGACAGATCTTTCTGCATTCTCGACCATTCCACTCAATGCTTTATAGAGGGTTGTCACGAATTGACTGCGAACCATCTGCAAGAGTTTCGCTGGCGGAGGTAGAACGATCTCAGGCGCGCCTTGCTTGATTGATGCATCGGAAATGTAAAGAATTTTTTGCATGCCCGATAGAATTGCGCTTTCAAAAGCACTGAAATTGGCAGGCATTCTGGTTAAGTCTCGTTTATCTGGAGAACGCCTCCAATCTTCCAAAGCTTTGATGTTTTCGGCATCTTTGTTCCATGCTGCAAGTATTGCAGTCACACATCTTTCACGGGCTCCTCCAACAAGAGCCTTTAATCTTTCCAGAGCTGAACCATCTCCATTAATGACAGGTGAAACTCCTGACATTTCACTTGCACCGGAACCTACAAGCGCAAGGAATTTGGCCAGATAATGGACTCCACTGGCTGAATTTGACCATGGTGGCCAGAAAGCAAATTTTTCCCAAGCTTCACCTCGTCTAGGAGATGGAGGTGGTAGATTGTTTGGATCGAATGTAAAACGAGAACCTCGGAGGGCAGACGGAGTCAACGAATCGGCCGTTCTTGGTGTGCGTGGGGTGGGTGGCAGAGGTGAAAACAGTGCAGAAATATCCTCAATTGGAGGATCAACAAACAACTCGTATATACTTTCCCGAAGCATATCTACTAACTCAACTGTTCCTTGTTGCAACTCAATAATGTTCTCATCAGAAAGTCGATGATGCTCCCGAGACTTTCCGTTAATACCTACTGGTAGAGCTTTCTGTGCTCTGCCATCAATAAAACTCTGCACAGTTTTCCAGAATTCTGTTACTTCGCCAAGAATTCCTTGTGCAGAGAACATGCTATGGAGAAACGAGTTCAATTTTTCCCATAGCTCAATGATGTCTGGAGAATCGACTGATACTTGTTTGTTGTCTACTATTTGACGTCCAAGCGACCGCAAGTGAGTAGCAATAACTTGAGGGTTAGGCTTTTCAGCACTAGCTAGTCGTCGCCGTAGAATTTCAATCTCGACCTTGGAACGATCAGACGTTGCCTGTATTTTGACTTTGAGGTGATCGAAACGACTCAGTAACCAAACCCAAATAGGATTGTCTGTTACTCCTAGTTCGAGTAATATTCCAATAAGTTCCATGTGTTGATCCTGTTGGGCACCGAAAAACCCGTCTGTTCTAGTTGAACCTTGTGCCAATGATAATTTCTTCCATACATCACGTTTAAACTCCTCAATCTGCTGTTCGACGTCATGCCATACGCGAGCAGCTAGAAGAATTTGGTGTATTTGAGGATCAGTTGGTGGTGTATTTCCTAGCGTTTCGGTGAGTTTCTTTGCATCGTCCGCGAACCGTCTTGCTTTTGTATATTCTTCGACAATGCTTTCATAGTCTTTACGCTTGATACTATCGGTAATAGCAGCATTAACCTCGTAATATTCTTTGTACCGATCAACGGTTCCAACCATTACTTTCAGGCTATCTTCCTTTTCTCTCCCCCCTAATGCCGGTCCCCACACCTCTTCTGCCTTTGCGGAGACGTCTAAAAGAGGAGTTTTTATTCCAAGTACACCATATTCGCTTTCTTTCATCAATGCGTTCTTTTTTCTGTCATCTACAGGTGCCGGAATCGTCATTCCAATCTGATTACCACTACTCGCTCGAAAACTACTTCTGCTGGCATGGCGGGAATGGGGTCTAGATCGAGAAGCTGTGGGTGGTTCTGCCCCCCGATATTTCATCTCGGTGTATACATTGTCAATTGTGGCTTTGGCACGCACGAAGCGTTCGAAGTTCGATTCGACGAGGACCTTAAGGGAGGCGGACTTTTGGTCAATCGATCTGGAGAGTAGATCTAAACCTCGCAACAGGTCTTGCGTAGAGGCAGCAGAGTGAACTTGGGAGAGGAATAAGGCGGGCGAGAATGTTGTAGACGACAAGAGGAACCTGTTACCTAGTACAGTCAGTGAAAGTAGAAAAGAAACGAAAGATGGACAAACGCAATGCTATATCGTCTTGTACTGGTAGACCCTGCTGCCGTAGAACTCTAACAACACTATCGGTGCTACCTAGAGGATCTTGCTCATCCCTTTGAACCAAATTCTCTACCCCATCGCCCGACTTTTGTGCATTGGGGATGAGACTCTTGCGGTCACTAGCTCTTTCCAGGGCGAAGTATTTGGACTTTCTGCGCGCAACAGCCGCAGCCATTGCACCATTTTGGTTCGATTTGGGATCTTCATCCTCCTCATCTGAAGCATCACTTGTATCCTTATCCGCCGGCCATTCTATAGGATATGGAGATGAAAGCTGGTAATGGTCCAAGATGGTGCGCTCCATGTCCGTCATATTGAATCGTGTTTAATTCGAGATTGTCGCAACATGTATTTAAAGGGATTAATTCATAAAACAAATTCCAGCGCTACATATCCCACTTTGTATTTCCAAACTTGAACTGAATTGAACTCGAATTTCTGGAACATATTATAAGGTGTCGAGGTTCTACTTCACGGCGTCCATTCATTAATAATTTGAGCATCAATACTCATTAGGTACAGTATCGTAAATCGGGAATTGCCGATAATGATTCCGGGCCAAAACGGCTGAAAGTGGGAACAGCGGAATCCAAAGTAGCAACCCATTACTTGAGGAAAAAAGCAACTTTCCGCAAGTTAGCCGCGACTTCAAATCTTCTTTCTCTAAACTCATTTAGACCTATTTACTCTCTTTTCCCCTCCTCTTCCCTCTTCCGATATATTCTTGCATTTTTTTGGCGAGAATTCTTTTGGCAGACAGTATGTTAGCAATTAGATCTTTTGGCGCTCCTGCGCGCAGACAGTGCGTCCAAGTATCTTCACGTGCTTGGAAACCAACCGCTGTCCAGGTAAGAACATATTTAGTTCTAGCTCCTACGCAGCTATTGCATATTCAAGATTCGAACTACATGCTTACTATTTATGATTGTAGGCCCGCCGCACATATGCTACCGAAAAACCTAAGATTGCCCAATTCCACGGCCAAAAGGGATCAGATGTAAGGCATTTCCCCAACCAGAAGAGAACGCTTCCAATACCGCCCACTTTGTGACGGAACAGAAGGGACACAATTGTATACTATGGAAATTTCTCGGAACACGGACACTGACATTTCATAAGGGACTTTACACAGTTAGTTTGATTGAGGGTGATGGTATCGGTCCAGAGATTTCCCAATCCGTGAAGGATATCTTCACAGCCGCCAAGGTAAGAAGAAAATTTGAAGGATCTCGAGTCAATTCTGACACAAAATAAAGGCACCGATCAAGTGGGAACCTGTCGACGTTACCCCGCAACTCCGGGACGGAAAGACCACTATCCCCGCAGAGACGATCGAGAGTATCAACAGAAACAAGGTTGCTTTGAAGGGTCCTTTAGCAGTATGTCTATCCCAGCTATTAGTCTTTGGCCTGCGCCTGGTACTAATCTACATTAGACCCCTATCGGTAAAGGCCATGTATCTTTGAACCTTACTCTTCGCCGAACTTTCAACCTTTTCGCCAACGTTCGACCATGTCGCTCAATCGCAGGATACAAGACACCTTACGATAACGTTGACACCGTTCTTATCCGTGAGAACACTGAGGGAGAATACTCCGGTATTGAGCACGTTGTGGTAGACGGAGTCGTACAAAGTATCAAGCTTATTACAAGGGAAGCCAGTGAGCGTGTTCTACGATTCGCATTCCAATACGC